GTTATTTCAAAGGTGCTACAAGATCTCTCTCTATCTCAATGTGGAGGTTCTTCAGGCTGTCACTTTCAAAGATAGGAGAGAGAAAGCTGAATAGGAACAAGACAATGAGCTCCCCTTATCATGTATTAAATTCAGCCCTTCAACTGATGGTCTCCAGGCATGCTTGAATCTCAGACCCTTAACTCTTGTGCAAAGAAACTGAGCTGATAGTGACACCAGCCCAAGGAACTAATTTTGATGGTTCACTTATATGTTCTTTCAGTATTGCAGATTATTTTTTCCCCACAAAGGAAGAGGGGGAGAGTATATCTGAGTTTATTTGACACCAGCCATCCTCCCCATGTCTTCTTCCTCTGCTGTCTAGCTGGAATATTTTCCCCCAGCAATATCAGCATTGGCAGGATGGTCAAAGAGGGCTGGGGGTAAGACAGAGTTTGGGTGTTGAGTTGCAGCAGCATGTCTGCAATAAGCAATACTATTAAGTCTCAATGGGATTCTATTCTGGATGGTTCCAACAAGGTAAATAGCTGCCTCCAGAAGTTCCCACTGAGTATGCCTAAGTATCCCAAAGATACCAGATCCCATCTGACCTTGAAAGATAAGCAGGATCAGCCCTGGTTAGTACTTGGAAGGGAGACTGTCAATGAATCCCAAGTGCTGTAGGCTATATTTCAAAGGAAAGAACTGGCAGAATCACCTTTGAGAATTTCCTGCCTTAAAAACCCTAGGAAATTCAGGCCATATGTTGACAGCCAACTTGCACATACATAAACATGCATACATAGCAAAACAGAGGGGAAAGGGGAAAGCAGATTAGTCTGCCTCATCAGCTACTCCCAACATGTGAAGACCTTGAGCAAGTCACATTCTCTTAGCCTCATAGGAAGGCAAAAGCAAATCCCCACTGAACAAATCTTCCCAAGGAAATCCTTTGAAAGGGTTGCCATAAGTCAGAAATGACTTGAAGGCACTCAACACCAAAAAGCAACAATAAGCTTGGCTACCAAAATGATCTCTGGATGCATTTTAGGAAGACCCCTAAAGACATCTTCCAAAGTGCATCTACAAAACCATTTGGTCTCTAGGAAGTCCAAAACATTTTTCTTTACTTATTCAAGGCTTACCTGACCTGTTTGTTTCATTTTACATGTTTTGTTTTATATGTATATATTGTTAGTTTTGAATGAAAGGTTTGTGGTGTAGGGACCTATCCCTATTCCTTCCATGTTATTTCCGGTGCCAAATTGTCTATTGAAGAAGCAATATCAAGTAACACAACTCTGTTAACTAAAGGATACTTGTAAGCATGCAAGAGGACAACTAAGAACTCCCTTGGACTATAACATGGGGTTGTGATCTTTCTTTCAAAATAAGGAAAGAAAGAAAGAAGAAAGCTAATTACATTTATTTGTACTTTCTGCTCTCCCCTTTTCTCTATTGCTTCTTGCCAATACACATCTATCAGTGAGCAATGAATAATATACAGATGCACAGTGGTCCATGTTACGCAAATGTCAGTTCTGTTGAAATGAAAGGGACTCAGCCACACACAGAGAACAGCCATTGATTTCGCCTCAATCCATTTGACGCAAGATTTCCAGTCCACTGCTCGAATGGCAGGGAGTGATGCAAAAGCCTATAGAAGTAACTGAAGCAGTGAAGGCTTATTAAATTTGTTAAATGATGTGAGTGCGTGTACGGGGCGAGCATGTACGCATGCGCATAAAGAACAAAGCAGTTTGCAAAACACAATCAAGATGCTGAACGTGCATTTTTAGAACCAGACAAACTCAGGCGGGAAGATACACGCTGGAAAGAAAATACTTTAATTAATAGGAAACAAGGTTGCAAATGGTGCCTTTTATATAAAATGGCAAAATCGAGATTTGCTTTATGGAATATATATATATATATATATATACACACACACACACACACACACACACACACACATACATATACATATATGAATATTTTCAAGCTGTGGATGGTTGAATCTGTGGATAAAGTAGCTGTGGATACAGAAGGTCAGCTGTATGCAGTATTAAATGCTCTTTAGCCCATCTCCTTTAGTAAATGAGAAGGAATAATCTCCTTATTTCACTTTGCTCTCAGACACTACAGCTAAAGTATTTCTGGGGACGTGTGGCCATGTTCTAGAAGAGTTTCTTTCTGACGTTTCGCCAGCATCTGTGGCTGGCATTTTAAGAGAATACTGGAATACTGAAGATGCCAGCCAGAGATGCTGGTGAAGCGTCAGAAAGAAACTCTTCTAGAACATGGCCACACAGCCCCAAAGACCCACAACAAACTATGGATGCTGGTCATGAAAGCCTACACTACGGCTTCACTATAGTTAAAATTTCTGCCTAAATTTTCCAAATATGAAAATATGTTATGTGAATATGTATTGAGATGACAAGCTGTGGGGACCTCTGGTTGGGACTTATTTCATAACACTTAATGGCATCATCCAGGCTGTACATGGGTCTCAGATTTTGACCCAGAAACTATAGGGCCTGGGATGATTTTGAACTGGTTACCCTAGTTGGCATGCATCTCTGCCAGACTCTGGATGGCTTGGATTCACTGATAACTGCCTCCAGGTTGTGTGTCTGTTGTGTGCCTTCAAGTCATTTCTGAGTCATGGCAACCCTAAAGCCAGGGGTAGGCAACCTTTCCCCTTTAAGGGCCAAGGGACTTCAGCTCCCAGAAGTCTCAGCCATGTTGGCCAATAGTCTCATGTTGGCCAATAGCTCCTGGGATTCTGGGGGCTGAAGTCCCTCGGCCCTTAAAGGGGAAAGGTTGCCTACCCCTGCCTAAGGCAAACCTATCATGGGGCTTTCTTGGCAAGATTTGTTCAGAGGAGATTTGCCATTGCCTTTCCTTGAGGCTGAGAGCATGTGACTTTCTCAAGGTCACCCAGTGGGTTTCATGGCTGAGCGAGAAATCGAACCTTGGTCTCCAGAGTCCTAGTCCAACACTCAAACCACTACGCCATACTGAATTACGACTGCCATGTTTTGCAGGGATAAAAGAAAAGTAATTGAAGAGGGTCTGAACCTTTTGAACTAACAAGCTGATCTACACTGCAAAAGTAATGTAGTTTGACACAGCTTTAACTTCCATGGCTCAGCGCTATGACATTCTGAGATTTGGAGTTTGTGGCACCAGAGTTTTCTGGCAGAGAAGGCTACATATTTCACAAAGCTATACATCCTAGAGTTCAATAGCACTGAACCCTTTGGTTTAGTTGGGGTCCTGCAAAATAAAGTGTGCCTATGTTTTAAATAAATAGGTTGCATGCCATTGATAATGCTGAACGCATTGGCAACAAGGATGTTAATGAATATGATGACGATGATGATAAATTTTAACCCTCTTTTTCCTAATTTTGTCCCATTCGCCTCAATGTATATTGAGCACAATGTATATTAGCACATTTTGTGCTAATGTGATCATACATGCTTTTACCTCTTCCTCCATTTCCATTTTCAATTAAGATTTGACACATATTTGATATCAAATCACCATCATTTGAAGACAAAGGTGTTTTTTTTTAAAATCCAGCCTTTGATTCCTTAAAACTGAATACCTTCATGTCATTTTAAATCTTTTAGTTTTCTATGAAAAAAAAAAGCCAATGGATATTAATACCTTGTAACCCCAAGGACTCTACTGTTTTTATAAAAAATGGACTTTTATCATATCTTGAATAATGACTGTATTCCAACAATTTACTGTGATGTGTAAATTGCCTGGGTTGTGTTATACAGAGAGATGGGATACGAACAAATATTATTATTATTATTATTATTATTATTATTATTATTATTATTATTATTATTATTATTCATGATGATGATGATGTTTTATCATTCAGAAAGCAAGCTGAACTTTGCCTCCTGGTTGCCAAGAAATCAAATCCCTCTCCGGTCCGTTCTGCTTCCCTTCGTTGGCTTTGTCAATCCCGCATCCGACATGCCACCTCCTTGATGAGAAATCAAGTCTTACAAATCCCCGTTGACAAGTCAGACAACAATTGTGGCTCTCGTCAAAGATGGATGGCACAACTCGGACACTTTCCGGCTGCTTTGCTCGCTCATAAAACCCAGTGCAAACCCCATCAAAAATTTAGCAGAACCCCTGCCTCATCTGTTTAGGCCTGAAGCGAGTTTCAGGGACGACTCATTAGGGACACGCTCATTAAAACCAACCCTGGAGCAAAAGCAGTTTGTGAGCCTCCTCATCTTTATTCACTCTCACCTAGCCGTTCATGTTACACGAGAGCGAGCGAGTGAGCGGCTTTGGCATCTGGGCCTTCTAATGGTGCCAGAGAAGAATGGAAGACTGTGGGTTTCCCCTTCCACGACTTAGGTGAGAGACCTAGGATTTGACAAAACGCAACTCCTTGCGTCTGTCAAAGCTAATGTTGCTTCCGTGCGGGGAGAGCTTCTGATGATTTTGTCCTCAAAGAAAGAGAGGAAAAGAGTGAGATTAGAGCAGATGCCCTGGTGGGATGCCAGGCTAATCCTTTTTGGTTGTATTTAGGGGAGAGAGGTGGCGAAAAATAACACTCGGCGTTCTTTGTGACGTCCGTATCAAAGCCCTGGAAGTCATAGAGTCAAAGTTAACAGCCTTTTTGCACAGAGAGATGGTGTCCTTCTGTTGTATCACACAGCATGGTGTGTGGCTGCTCTTGGGTTCTCAGCCATGCCACGCACCATGGTTGCAAATGTCTCTTTGCAACTCCTGCAGCTTTGCATTAGCAAGGTATGGGCTAGCATGGTGGGTCTGTGGGCCATTTTTCTGCCCCTCTGAGAACTTCATTGCCCGTGACAAATGTCAAATGAAACCAAGAAATAAATATGGAAGTGACTGGATGTTGGCTCCTGTTTTTGGAACACAAGGGGTGTATCTATACTGTAGAAGTAATGCACTTTCACACCACTTTGTCTGCATTTGCACTGCAGAAATAATCCAGGTTGACACCGTTTTAACTGTCACAGCTCAATGCTTTGGAATTCTGGGTTTGGTAGTTTATTGTGGCACCAGAGCTCTCTGGCAGAGAAGGCTAAAGTTCTCACAAAAACTATATATCCCATAAATGCATAGCATTGAGTCATGGCAGTTAAAGTCATGTCAAACTGCATTATTTCTTCAGTGCAGATATGGCCTTTAAGTGCTGTAGTCCATCCAATGCAATCCTGGATTTTTTAAGTTTTATAAAGTCTTTAGCTTTCTCAAGAAGCAATAGAGTACTGATGCTTCCCAAAACTACAGATCCCTGGATTCTGTAACATGGAGCCATGTGGAAGCTAAAGTAGTGTAAAACTGCATTATTTCTACAATGTGGATGCACCCCCAAGTCATTCTGTATAGGGATTTAGATTCCTCAAGGATCCCTATTTGACCAAACACTTATCTTGTCTTAAATGCTTATCCCAACTCCAGTGGATCTATTCAATAAAGGACATTTACCTATGTGTCCAGATTCACCATTCAGTAGTTGATTTAATAGATCTACTTTAGTTGTTGCTAGCAACTGGATTTCAACCTGAGTGCTCAAGAGCCACAGTTGAAAATATGCCTATCTTGGACATGTCAATAAGTCCTTACTCTCCAACATTTTGGGGATGAAAACTGGGACACAGGTGGCCAAGCAGTGTCGGAATGTGGCCAAAATGCCAGAAATCACTATTGGGCTAGGAGAGCCTGTGACAGTTTGCTTTTGCCTGAGCTTACTGGGAAGATTAAGACTGCCTCCTCTCTTCTTCCCTCATTGAGTTGAAGGCAAACTACTTTTGCATTCTGAATTCATTTTTCAGCAGTGGAATTAAATAGGACAAGGGGCAGAAGTGGGAGGATGAGAGGGAAACTGGGACATTAAAAGCAATTGGAAAAATGGGACAACAGAGGGTTAGTTAGGACTGACCCTACCAAATCAAGACAGTTGGAGGGTATGTAATGCCATCATAGCACCTTGAATTTTCTAAACATAGGAGCTTATTTAAACTGGGGCTGGATGGTCACCTCTCAGGAATGTTTTAGCAAGGTCCCCCTTCCATCTCCCTAGTCCTAATTGCCCAGCGTTCAGTTTCCAAAGAAGGACAGCATTGCATGGTTTTGCAAAGGAGCAAAAAGGAAGAGCAAAATAATTTCTCTTTCTTTACCTTCTTTTTCTAACAATTAATTGAAGATTAGCAGTGGCAGACCTGGTAAATTGCTTTAAACATGGGGAACAATTGGTGAAATGCAAGGGACAGAAGGCATTTCTTCTGACCTATAAATTATATTGCAAGAGACATCATGGTCTCACCATAACCTGATTCTGCTGCAGTTATTGTTTCTCTGTGTTATTATTTTAAGCGTGTTTTAAATTGTCAACTCTTTAATAGTATTTTAAGGGGGGGTGGGATTGTGGGGTACAGAATGTATATTTTAATGTTGTAGGCTGCCCCAGTTGCGTTGTGCAGAGTGGCGGGATAATAATAATAATAATAATAAATAATAATAATAATAATAATAATAATAATAATAATAATAATAATTTATTTAGTGGTTTGAGTGTCGGACTATGACTCTGGAGACCAGGGTTCAAATCCTAGCTTAGCCATAAAACCCAATGGGTGGCTTTGCACAAGTCACACACTCTCAGCCCAGAGGATGACAATGGCAAACTTCCTCTGAAGACATTTTCCAAGAAAACCCTATGATAGGTTTACCTTGGGGTCACCATAAGTTGGAAATGACTTGGGACACAGCAAGAAGAAATAAATTATAACTGTCATTCATTCCCAATAAATAAAGTTTGGCCGTCGGGATATGTTAATTGAAATGACCTAATGCTCCAATTTATCCAGAAGAAGAACAATCCCTTCTTCTTCTTCTCCTCCTCTCTTCTCCTGGTTTGAGACAAAAATGTCTCAGATGTTTGTAATCTGTTTGCTGCGGTGTTTAACAGATCTCCAGAACACAGATCATTTATGAAGAATGTATGAAAAATAAAAGATAGCTCATAAAAGAAAACAATGAAACAACATTAAATATGCAAATGGCAGTTTTAATTCTAATTAAATCTTATCAGAAGAAGGGCTTAACATGCAAAGCATTGTAACAGAAATGTGTTAAAATATAGCCACACAAGCTTTGCTCAATACCAGCTTCCCTCACTTTGCACCACCTCCACCCCACCGCCTTTGCAAGCAGACATTTTAGAGTCTAATTTAAGCCTTTTCTTTTCCAAAGCCATGGGGGAAAAAAAATAACAGATAACATTCAGCTCTTACATATGCATGCAAAGTAAAGCCTATTAGAAATCAAATACGACAACATCAGTGGAACTTTTTAAGGTGGGGGATTAATTGTTCCCTTAAAACAAGAGAAAGAGATGAATTTAATAATAATCATGCCTCAATGTGAGGATGGCAAGGTAACGTTAAACATCACTGGAACTGGAGAGATGGAAAGAGAATCCAGAACAAAATAAATCAGAGCCAACTATAATTTAACCCTTGCCAGCCAGCAAAGAAACCTTGTTGTTGATATAGGACCCTTGTCTCTGTATCAAGGAAAGAGGAATGGAAATAATAGTCAAAAATATTTTAAAATTATATATATATTAAAAACTCATACATTTTTATAGTGTCAAGAAACTGATGAAAAGAATAATGGACTGATGAACCTTTGACTGTTTTGGACTTGTTCTGTGCAAAATTTGCAAGTGGTTGATATTTCTATGCAGGGATATATTTTTTTCTGTGTGCAGAAAACAATATTTATATGCAGGGATATTGTTTTCTGTGAAGAAAATTTATTTATCTGGCTCATGTAGACATACCCCAGGTGCAAGCATCTCTTGTTGTTTAACCACCATCCAACTCATCCCAACTCATGGCAACTCTATGGATGTGACATATCCAAGCCTCACTATCCTCCACTGTTCTGCTCAGGTCCTGTAAATTCATAGCCGTGACCTTCCTAATAGAGTCTATCCATCTAGGTCAG